CGGACGTTGCTGCTGCTGCTGCTGTTGATGTTGATGTTGCTGGCGCTGCAGTCGCCGTCTCAGTTAGCGCCAAGATTTATGTGATCCTTAAGATTTATTGGTTTACGGCATTGTTGTTGCAATAAAAAACAACAACATTCATAAATTATCATTAAACGTTTAAATGTGACGCAGCAGCTCTGGGGGCACGCCGCACGCTGCATGCTGCATGTTGCACGTTGCCAGTTGCAAGTGGCTGGTTGCTGGTTGCTAGCTGCTACCTGCAAGCTCAGTTCTGGTCAGGGAGAAAGAGACTTTTGCTATCTTTATAATGAGCCAAATGACATATTTATTTGTTGTTGCTGCCAGTTGCCACGATGTTGCTGTTGCCACAATCAGAGCCCAGTCTGCAATCGCTCAGGTTGTTGCATGCAATTTCTTTTGGCCCGCAGTCGGGATCGCGGTCTGGCGTCTAGACTCTAGACACATGGCGCACCAGAGGTGACAGCTGATTGTCATTGTTGGCATATTAAAGCAGGCCCACAGTCTGCACGCGCCGCCAACGATGGGCTGGGTCTTTAGGCCCACTTCTGCGTACTCGCAGACCTGGCCCAGAAGGCCTCGACCCAGCCGACAAGACGGCTAAACGGCGACAGCCACTGACAATTGACACTCTTGGCCGAGTCCCGCATTTCATATCCCTCGCTGCCGCTCCTGTTTTATATATTAATACGCTTAATGTCAGTTAAACTTCAGCAACCAATTTCGTATGCATTGTGTGCCTTACATTTTGCAGGGACCTCGCCTTTGGAGTGGAATAAAAACTGGGAATAGAACAATTATTGGAACTGGGAAAGAGGGACATAAACTAAGATCTAGGATCTGCAACGGAAAATGGGCCTGGAACTGCTTTAAGGTCTAGAGCAAGGGTACAAAAAAGCCAAACCACAGTTCCACACAATAAACAAAAACAAATAAAAGGCAACGAACAGAGGCTGAGTCTTTCAACTGAAAAGGGTTACATGGATATTAACAAAGCAAAGCAAAGCAAAGCAATCAACAGTCCAACCAAAATTAAAAAAAAAATTGTTTTATAAGGAACAATTTTTAATCAAATATTATACCCTAAATTAGCACTAAGACACATTAAATAATAAAAACATTAAAAATGCTGAACCTTCCTAAGTTGTTAATAAACTGCTAAAACAAATAAAATTGTAGAAAAATTACTCTAAATTAGTTGAACCAGTTTGATTTTTAAGACATTTGTAATATTGTTTTCATTGTTTTAATTATTCCAAAAAGAAAATATAATTTAAATGCAGTTGCCCATGAAAACGGGAAGGAACTGGACTTCTTGCCAACATTACTTTAGCATTCATACAACACTGCACATTTTATTCTCTTACTATTTATTATTCATATTAGTAAATTTACTATTCATATTAGCCACCGCACAAATATCACCGATTTGCATTACTTAAGCTAACTGATACCTAATTCTTTCTTCTCAAAGCCCATATACTCGACGTTTATTAATAAGAACCTCCTTTCAATGAGTGCAAAACAAACGATAAATATAAATATAATACCCACAATTACAACATGGTACGTACAGGATCATAAAAGTAGTTAGAACCACATTAAAGACCCCTCTCTTGCCCCGCCCCCTTCTGCCTCCGCCTCTGCTCTTGTTGGAAATCATCGTTTCGGGCCGCAGATTCACCGGCGGCGCGGTCTTAGCCAGGCCATGGCCAAAGCCCAATGTCCAATACCCAAAGGCCACAAGCAAAAGTGCGTTAATAGCCAAGACACACATGGCAAATGTGCACCGCCCCACAGCTCTCCACCCCCCGCCTTCCCCCCCACCGCCTGGACGCCCCCACCCAATCGGGTGGATGCGGTGAGTGGAGTCTGCAGAGAGGCCGATTCCCCGGACAAGCAGCTAACGCGCCTTTTACAAATTTTTATTGAAAAATATTAAATTCTCATTAAGGCAGGAGAGGTCCGAGCAGGTTCCCAATCGCGTCCAGGCAGCATCGCGTATACACAGTTTAGCCACGTTCGCTGGAGGTTTTCTGTTGTTTTTCCTGAACGAACCCGAACCGAAGTTGGCGCGCGCTCACATGCGCCGATAGACTCGCTTAGATAAAAGATGATTTATGGGTTTTGTGGTGTGATGGGAATTTTAATTTCCAGCATTTTTGCTTAACAAAATTAAACATGGGACTGCGAGCGACAGCCGGATAGAAGCGATGTGCGGGGGGAAAATGGGGAAATGGGGAAGAAAGCCAAGCGAGGACAGGCACAAACGGTTATTTGCCTGTATTTGGGACCGGGCAATTGTCAAATGAGGCGACCTCCTCCAGACGATTCCATTTTTAATTGAGCCAAAGCGCACAGCATGTACCCGCCAGCCGGCAAGCAGCGTACCGGCAACTAGCAACTTGCAACTTGCAACTCGCGACTTGCAACTGCTGCTGCTGCTGCTGCTGCGACGGGCAACTGTCCATTATGCTCACTCACCTGTAAAATAAATGGCAAAACTGCCAAACACTTTGGCCAACTGACAACTGCTGCCCCGGCATCATCGTTCCAATTTAGTGCCGTTGATGGGGGACAGGGCATCCAGGGGGCTGGAGCACCCACTGCTGTGATCCGAGGTCTCGCGGCCCGTTCGTTTACCGTTAGGTGTCAAAGATTTCATGCCCCATGTCGCAAACTAACGACACACAATCGATCACAAATCAAACGGACAGAAGCGGCAGCCCGCAGTTGCCGCAGTTGCCGAAGTTGCCGCCGTTGCGACAGTCATCCAAATCCAAATGTGTCTCAAAAATCAGGCCGCGGCCAATGCAAAGCCGTTTCATAAATTGCACATGACCTGACGACCAGCAGCTCCAAACAGCAACTGCAACTGCCGCACTGCTCCATCTCCATCTCCACCTCCTGCAGCAACTCGAACTGCATCTGCAGCAGCCAAAAGGCAGCAGAAAGGCATAACAATAAATTAAAAATGGATGTCGATGGCTAAGTGCACAGGAAACATTTTTTTGCCATATATCTTGTATATGTTTTCAATAAAGTACCAAAGAAAGTGACTTATTTAATATCAGAAAAGTAATATTCATCATAAACTATTTTTATTTGCAATATTTAAATTTTTCGTAACATTTTGTTTTTCCAATATTTATTTTATGAATCTACACAAATGGGTTGTGTTTTCAGTTAGTTTATTTGGTTAAATAATTTACGATTTTCAATAAAAACCATTTGTAACTTTTATTACACTTACAAATGACTGAAATATAAAAACCAAATGTTGAATGTTTTAAAATCTAATTGCTAACTAAATAATTCCCTGTGTAAAGGTGGATGTGGATGCGAGGTCTAACTCAAAACTCTGCGAAAGATCCAAGCTGCAAACTGGGACTCCTTCAATTGCTGGCCGGTCGATTTGGTTATTGGAGCGCTTTTTGTCTGATGGACATCTGCCGACAGCCCAAGACACACATATGTATATAGATCCCGCTCCCAGATCCCAGATCCACCATCCTCATCCTCATCCTCCATCCTCCATCCTCATCCTCCTTCTTCGATTGATGGACAGCGCCAGCTGGCTGCATCGCAACGCGACTTTATTGGTTTTTAATGAGCACCGCTGTGATTTCAGTGCTTATCTAAATGTGCTCAGTTGATATTTGTCCACTGGGTGGCATGGGGTATGTGCGATATAATTAAATCATGGATTATGACTCATAAAATATGAGCATACGATTTTTTTATGACATCTAGTTTATAATGGAATAAATTAACAGCGAATAAACTTATGAGATACCAGCTATATTTATGAAATAGTATCCAATAAAGATGGTATTTAAATGGAAGCTTGCACAATATAAATATAAAAGTACAAGATCCGTTATGTGCGGTTTAAAAGTTGATATGGCGCTGATAAATCACTTACCTTACTTTCCATCAAATTCACTTCGTTTCATTACCTTTTTCTTCACCATGGGTAAGTCCCCATTTTGGGATTACCTCGACACAAAAGAATTGCCCAATGGCAGCTGCAGGGCATACCCAGCGTCGATCAGTGTTAATTAAGGCACCTTCTCACTTTATTTACTTTTACTCATTTGCATATGCGTTTGGGTCATTAAACCTGACCTCCCCAGCCCACCAGCCACTGGCATTCAAACCCATCCTCCAGCATCTTCCACAGTCGACAGTCGCCGCAATATTGACCTGACCCAAGGCATATTAATTAACCCAAAAAACCGGTCTGTTATATTTGTCTAACCTTTATGCTAAACGCGGTGACGGCAACACCACTAAGCGCAGTTGGGAGCAAAAAATATAAACGGCAGTAGCAGTAGTCGCTACTGTCGGCTGCCTTGTATTATGTTATTAATTTACCAATAAATTGCCATGGCGTATGCGTAATATTTCACAATTGTGCCTTAATGACCGAGAGCGTTATTCATGCACTGATTTCCGCTGCAGGTGTCATCCAATCCAAGCCATCTAGCCAACCAGTTATGCGTATTAGCCCAGGTACCAGGCCCAAGATTCAGCCCCAAGCTCTCAGCTCCCAGCTTCCAGCTCCAAGCTCCGGCTTTTCGCATTGAAATTACAAATGACGAGAAATTTGTCATCTTTATTATTGCAAACAACGCGCAGTTGTACGTTGCAAAGTTGCAAAACGACAAACGACGACAATGCTCCCCTGGACAATTGCAATTGGCGGGGAGTGCGTGCCGTGCCACAAAAGCCAAAGCCAAAGCAAAAGCAAAAGCAAAAGGCGGCCGGCACTCGCTGACAACTTGCCACACATCTCAGTGCTGGATGGGGAGGGGATCACGGGAACCCCGAGGGCACACTTGTGGGTTAACGTTAGACCGCAGCCCCATTGTGCGCCAATTGATTTTTCATTCAAATGAAAATGCTTCGCGGATTTGGCCAGCGATCCCGTAATGAGCACGGCCAAGGCTTCGTTTGGTACAAAAAAGTATTCGCTTTTCTTTTATTTCTCAAAAAATAATACAATTTGTTTTGCTTTTGTGTGTTGTGTTTGTCTGTGAGTGTGCTAAAATCTATGATGACAGTTGGTATGAGGCAAATTGCGTTCGGGGCTCGCCAGGGAATACAGTGCGTTCCGTAGCTATAAGGCAGTTTGAATTGTATACATTGGTTTATCTACTGGTAATTTCTTGGCAAATATTGTTCGTTTTATAAATAAATGTAGGCAATGATAAAAAAATATTGAAATGTGTTTAAATTCTTAAAATGCTCTGAGATGTTTAATGAAATGTGTTTGCAAAAAATGAAAGTATTTCATTAGTTATTCTTTTAGAAAAATAGTTTTAGTACTTTCTAAAATAGATTTATTCTGAATTCGAATGATTTAAAACTTATAAAAAATACAGTTTTAGTTTCATATGTCTGATAATTGGGAAGTATCATACTAGCTATTCAGCACTTTCCTTACCGATCCCCACTTGGTCAAAATCCTCATCAACTATCACATCATACGCGTATAGTACAAAATGTTTTAAATACCCTACAGATGAGAGAATTTCTATATATATATTTATATAAATATTGCTTTGCTTGGCTCTTCCGGTTGTTTTGCCTCTTTTGTAGTGTTTTTGTATACAATTTTCTACTTAATAACCAATAAAAATTTGATCTAAAATTAGTTAAATTTCTTCTTACCGAACTAGGCTGTAAATGTTTATCTAGATCTATGTACACGCAAGTTGCTAGCACCAATCCAAAACTATCTGTATATATATGTATATTTAACTATGCAGATATTTCTATGTGTAGTAGGTAAAAATCCACTTTGTTAACTTGGCTTCTGAAGGCAATTGTCTCTGGGCTTAAAATGTGAAAAATTTTACAAATCTTTCCGCCCCATAACTACAGTATAACTACATCTAAGTTGGGCTTTGAGCCCTCTTAAGGTGTAAATTGAGCTACTTAAGCGATATGGAATATCTGGTCTCAGTAAATGATCAATGGAAGTGGTTCGAGTGCATATAAATAACCAAGAGCTGCTCCCCGCAGCATCTCAGATGAGTATTCTCGGATATGAGTTCGAGTACGAGTACGAGTACGAGTATGTATGGCCATTCGGCAGTTCCAGATCCTCAGTGGCGGCGCATGTGCAGCGACAGGTGGTCCGAGCGGCTGAAACTCCGGGTGCACAGTTGGCAGCGGAAGGGCTTCACGCCCGTGTGCTTCCGGTAGTGCCGGGTCAGCTCATCAGACCGGGCGAAGCGCCAGATGCAGCCCTCCCACGTGCACACGTACGGCTTCTCACCTGCGGAAGATTGATTCATTTTATTAATTTTTTTGTGGGTTATTCCTCATCATTTTCAAAATTAAATCAAATTTATAAATTTTTTATTTCCTTTAAAACTACACTTCTTGCGATCTCAAGAATTGAGATCTTGCTCATATCTCATATAAGCATATCTCATTGCCTTATTTGGTAACCTGTTTTCGTGAGACAATTTTTTTATGAGAATCTAACAAAAGTGTCTTTTGCATTAGTATATGGGTTGAAAATCAAAAACAAAATTAAGTCAAAAATGTGTTGAATTAAATCGATAATTCTACTAGGTTTCACATAAAAATAGTTGTGTTAAAAATATGTTAAAAATGAGTATTTATTAAATAAATAAATTAATAATAAAAGAACATGGAAATTTATACGATAAAGAGTGCGCTGTTCAATTTTTTTTTAAATGTGTAAAAATATGTTTTGCCAAAACTATTATAATCTTTAAATCTTATATGTGTTAGTCAAGAAATGTTTACTTCAAACAAAATTAAAATCTTTAAAATAAAACTTAAAACTTTCAATTAATTTTAACTATACAGCTTTAAGTTTATGAATTATGATTAAAATATGATGAATTCATTACCTAGTTGCAAAACGTATTAGTTAAAAGGACTAACCATATTTCTTGGAATTCTGTGCCACCAAATAAATTAAAAATTGACTGACCTAATCTAATTATATCTAACACACATGACATAAACTTTCTTTTCTTGCCATTTCCTATGTAATTTTCATTATTAATCGTATACATTTATGCTTGATAACCGTGAAAAATTGATAAATAAAATATAATCCACTGAACCTCACCTGTATGCGTTCGCTTGTGCGCCTTGAGGTGCGAACTCTTCGTGTACACCTTGTCGCATCCTTCGGTGTCGCACTTGTGTACCTTGCGGTTCTTGGAGAGATCATTGTAGCCGCCGTTGGCCGTCGAGTCGGAGGAGGATCGTCCGAAGGCGGATCCACCGCCCCCGAAGTTAATCCCGCTGAAGCTGCTGCTATCCTTGCGCGTCGCCCCCAGAGCCATGCCCCCAAAGGCAGGATTGAGGGCGGCATGTGGTGAGCCCGAGCCGGCGTAGCTCTTCCAACTCGGCGAGGAGGAGGAGCAGCCCGAGGCCAGGGACTTGCTGGATCCGCCAGTGGGCGAGGACTTCCTCGTGGCCTGACCATCTCCGAACTTGTACGGATTCTTGAACAGACTCAGCAGCGAGAACTTGCGGTCGTAGTCCTGCATGCTGTTTGCCGCAGATCCTGCCCCGCTGCCGCCGCTGTTGCTGCCGTTGTTGTAGCTGCAGCTGTTGTTGTTGTCCTCCTGCTTGCCGCTGCCACTGCCGCTGATCCGTCGATAGGTGAAAAAGAATGGCGAGGCCGCAAAGAACGGCGAGAATGGCAACTTGGACACACCGGAGGCATACAGTTGTTGCTGCTGCGTCGACTGCTGCTGCTGCTGCTGCTGTTGCTGCAGTTGCTGCTGCTGATGTTGCTGGCGGGCAAAGGCCCCCAACGAAGCGGCACCTGCTGAGCCCGCTCCAAAGCCCGAGGACGAGGATGAGCCGGAGGATCCACCCTGCTTGCCATTGCTGTAGCCAATCGCCTTTGTCGCAGACGAGGATTTGCAGCTGTTGGAGCCGCCGCTGCTGCTGCTCCCATGCGAAGTGCTCGCTGCAATGGGAAGAGGGGAAACGGAGGGGTGAGCGGTGGGAAAAACCAATTCAGATTTGGTTAGCAAAATGGCCAAAATAGTGGGGCCACTTTATGGCCGCAAAAGCCTAATGAGCCTCGTAAATGAACCGCAAACTGAGACAAACTCCCAACCATGCCAAACCAAGGCATACAAATACTAATTTAATAAGTCGAAGGATAAAATACCCTGGCAATATTCATTTTTAAAACTGAAAAGAGTTAATCACGATAAACATTATCTTTTTGTAAGGTGTAACGAAAGAATCATATAGATGCATAAGGAGATTCCACCGTGTTGAGCTTGAAATCATTTATACCATATCGTTTGCTGCAAAACGACCCCATAAAATAAAGAGGGAAACTTATTGATCGATGTTTTATATAAATTTTGAGAAATTTTATATTCAGAAGGGCCAAAGATTTCATCAATGAACTTCCAAATAATTGCAACTCTATAAAACGAAGTCCTTTAATTCTGACCGCTCTTTTTGGAAAATACAAGATATAAAGCATTATAATTAAAAAAAATTAAGTATGAATTTAAAATAAATTTGAATGAGTAGCATTAATAAACGTAAAACAAGTATGCCTTTTTATAAAAATTTACTTGGTTATGACGGGTTAAATTTAAAAAAAAACCAAATGAGAATTTACTTTGCCGAGCATGCTTGTTAAAGAGCAGGGAAACCGGCGGCCGGGAACACTTCGGCTTGTCAGTCGAGAGTCTTTACACAATTTCCTAATTTCGTTCGACCGCCTCATTGCATCAAAAACGTTTGCATGTCGCGTATTTTATGGCCGCCAGACAGCGACGACGAACGGACGGAGGCTCCAGCTCCAAGAGTCGAAGACGCGGATTCCGATTCAGACGGACAGCGAATCCGTGCAGTCGTGATCCATTTAACCTGTACTCTGGGCTCCAGACGACGACGACTGCCACTTTCGGCTGCCAGTTGCAGTTGCATTTGCAGTTCCAGTTGCAGTTGCAGTTGGGACAAGTGTGTCGATTTTGGCGCCCGCGACATCAACATCAATTGCCAGCCAAACTGCAGCTGCTGCTGGTCGCCGAGCGCCATCGCCCCACCTGCCCCACCTGCCCCCCATTTTGAAGGGTGCTCCATTCCGCCGAGCAAACCGAAGTCGCTGGGAAGTTTGCTCAACTTGGCCACTTGTCTTGGCTCAAGATTTTCGTTGCTTCTTTACTGCGATATTTGGAGTAGAAGACTCTGGCTTCTTTATTTCCTGGACTTGCAGTACTTATTTATTTACATTCAAAATCCTCAAAATATTCTAATTAAACTATCAAACAATTTATGCCAAAACAATTTACAAAATATAAATTTTAATGACAACTTTTATGACTGTTTGTAAATTTGAAACAATTTTTAAACAGGTTTCTTCAAAAATTCTATTTGGGAAACTAAAGATTTTAAGAATATACGATGCTGAACGAAAACGCATAAAAAGAATGAAATATAACTTACGTTTTAATATAGATATTAGCTTAAATTGAGGAAAAAATTTTACAAATTTTATTATGGTTCTTAGTAAATCCTATGGTATATCAGAAGAAATATGTATTTTTTGGGAAAACCATATAAGTTTCCCTGAAACTAAGTACGAAAAAATTTGACAAATAAACACCCTAGTCCATGTTGAAAAAGTATTTAACATTTATTTCCATTGCCCCCAACCCGCCCGTGATTTTTTCGCCCGCTAAGCACATTCAATTTTCACTCTTCTTGGCGTTGCAACTCGTTTGTCAGAGTCGAAAACAAAAGGCAAGCGAAAGGGGATTGAGGCGAACTGTACAAGTGACCCAGGCTTAAGTGCTTTGTCAAGCCTGCAAACTCCACATGACCGAGGGCCACATGGCGGCCAGCCAGCAACCCGACCATCCAAACCGGGCTAAGACTGACCGGCCAAGCAGAGAATGGGGTCCGCTGGTCCGCTAGTCCGCTGGTTTCTTAGCCTCAAGTGCCTCAAGTGCGTTTGCGACTGTCTCTGTCTACACATGTGTGCCCTGGCTTGATGCATTTGTAATTTCCATGCCAGCGAGCGTTTTGTTTCACCAGCACCGGGTTATAGTGCCCAAGGTAGCAGACGGAGGTTGCAGACTTACAGTAGGACGTCGTGAAGAGAAACCTCCATCCACCTTCACATGAAGTACAATCCCTTGCTAACAGTAATATATTTTATGTTCATTTTATGGATTTATTTTTAAAGCTGTGAGTCTTGAAATTGTATGACAATTAAATATATATTTTGTAATCCACTTCCCTTACCTTGTTAGTTTAGAGACTTAATAACTTATTACAGATTTGAATAAGAACTGTTTAAAAAAATATAATTTAATCGCTCAGTCTTTAACCTTTTCAAAAACTTTATTTATAATATATTACAGAATATAGTTTTCCAAATTAAATTGTTTGAAATTAATATTCCTTACACCCTGCACCAACTAATAAGGCACTTAATACGTTATTAAATTAAAAACAAAAATTCAAAAGTAATTTGTATTTATAAACTGGATAACCATGTTCAAATGTGTGAACTATGCATATTAGCTATTCATCTTTTTCAATTTACAGGGACTATGCCTTGGGGAGGGCTTAACTGCAGATGTTGGACTGTAGTTTTCGAGGGAGGCAGGTAAAGTAAGCCCCGGGTTGAGGTCCGTTAGCCCAGGCAGGCGCGTTATTAAAATTGATGGCATTTAATTGAACTGGCCATCAACGTCAGCCCACAGTGCTGTTTGCTGTTGCTGTTGCTGTTGCTGTGCTGTTTCTGTGTCTTTTCCGCTTTGCCCCATTTGCAATTGCTGGAAAGGGAAGTCCAGCAGCAGCAATGAGGATCGGATGGGATCGGAGAGAAGGGAGCTGGATACTGGATGCTACGCTGGCGTATGCTAATGCGCATTATGTGGCAACTCTCCGGCTGTCATATATTTCTCGTCTCCCAAATGGCCATTCTCCTGTCCAACTGCGAGTATATAGCCGCATGTGTGTGTTTGTAATCACCGCTTTTACCGAAATGCACACGCTGACTTCATATTTCTGCCAATTTGGCTTTGGCAACGGGCTACAGGCCACAGGCAGCAAACAGCCAGAAAACTCCAAACTCCAAACACCGAGCTTCAAACACCAAACACCGGGCGACCCAGAGATTTGAAATCACACTTGTGCCTATTGCCAAAGTGGTGCAATAAAAAAAGTGAATGTTGCCCCCAAGTGGCACCCGGCAGATCCGATCCGATGCGATGCGACGCGATGCGATGCGATGCGAAGTTATATAGACAGGCTCCTCCATCTCGGGCTCCTTTGGCGCGTCTTCAAATGGTCGTCGCTGTGGCCATAAACTGCTCATTTGACTTAGCTAGATTTACGTTGAGCAGCAAGTAGCCCCTTCCCCATCCACATCCACCCATCCACCCATCACCCCATCTAGCCCCAGCCCCTCCCCTTTCCCGCCCCTACTGTTAGTGTGCGTAGTCGAACGTGCCGCCCCAGTCGCAGTCGGCGATAATTATGATGAGGCCAGATCGTCCCCAGACCAAGCCACAAAAGCAGTCATCGCCGGAGAGAGGCAACCGTGGTGATAAGTAGCTGGGTAAAGGGATACCTTTAAGTCGTCTATGTCTTCTTTGTTTTTAATGAATGGTGAATTAAGTACATTCATTAATTATACCATATTTATTTGAAAAGGGAGAATTAATGGAGAAATGGTATAATCCAAGTAACTAGCAAACATGTTCAGTGCTTTTCAATTTCTAGTCCCAATACAAACAAAATTAAATCAATAAATATACCCTATGATCCCCGAATTACTTTTATTTTATTTATACACATATAAATTATACACCTTAGATAATCCTTTAATTAGTTAATTTGACATAAGGGAACAATGGAAATATTTTATTTACTGATTTTAAGTAAATAAATAGAAAGAATATTTGAGCTTTCTCACAATTCTTAATAATTTAGTACCCTACAAAATTTTACTACTTCGGAAGGTAACTTTTTTGGTGAAATTCTCATGGGATTTCAACCTTAATAAATTTGAATAAAATAAATATACCATATTATCATATCAAATAGAATTTCAATTATAGGTAATTATATATGATATCTGCCCAATAAAATTTGGCAAGGTGATCACTTCTGCTAACACTTTTTGCCCACTGTGCAGCGCGGTGTGTGCAATGTGCAATGCGGATCTCGCACCAAATGCGACTGCAAAACTTGCAACTTTAGAAATGAGAAGCAGACGCGGCCAGCGGAGAGAGAGAAAAACCCAGGCGAACAATAAATTACAAAAACAGTTGATAGGGTTTAATGTGCACTTGGTGTGCGATTGGTTATAATTGACAGTTCGCTTGGCTGGCTTGGGCAGCGCAGCTCAACTTGGCTCCAAGTCCGATTCCGGGCCCAACTTAGCGACGTGCTTGGCCAAGCACCACCAAGGCATCGAGCCACCAGAAGGCACCACAGAGCACCACCGGGCACCACCGGGCAACACAGCCATCGTGTGTTACGTTTCTAGCCACTTAATTGCCAGGCGCGCTTACGTTGATTTACTAGTTGATTTTTATATGAAACTGTCGTATTTAAGTTATAATTATGAAACAACATGGCTGCGTATCCGTGTCCGTGTCTATTGGATTCTGCAATTTTCACACATGAACCGTTCGCTTTCTGGGCCACATCATTTGACCAACTTTGACTCCGATACGTTTTGGGCCACCGACGAGTCACATTGGATTTATGGCATTGCGCATACGCCGTGGGGGCAGCCGTCGGTCGAAATCGCCACTATAACACATACACATACCCTCCGATCGGCCGCGGCTCTGGCTTTTTGTTTCAGCCATTTTTCACACTCTGCGGGCGTCTTTTGAACCTTGAAATAAAAGTTTTCCCACACTGCACACTGCAAAACATTTCGATTTTCCTTTTGGCGGCTGCACCACCATCGTCTCA